GGAACCCGTTATCAAATTTGTTCTCACTGATGTCCAAAGGATCCATGCAAATTAAATTTTGTTTGATTTTCATCATAAATTTAATTCGTGGGGTTCTTTGATATGCTGAATCTAACCATGTATTTATATTTTGGATCTTGCACCATTAAAAGTAAATGTCCAATTTAAAATTTTCAAATTTGTAGACGACCACATTCATTCTGTGTCAGAAACCTAATAGTATGCTGTGTCAAATATTTAATCACAATCTAGATTCAGAGCTGTATCGAACTTGAATGGTATATTTACCCCAACTGCTCAGGGTTCGACCTATGTGGTCGTATCAAGCTGAGTCCTGCAGAGCATTTTATTAATTATGTATGCAAATAATGTTGACAATTAGTAACATACATTTTTATGCCCGCGCCGTAGCGGAGGGGGGCATAAATTTTACCCTTGTCCGTCTGTACATACGTCCCAAAATTGGTTTCCATTCTCTAACTTTAGTTTGTGTCAACCAAATGTTATGAAACTTATACAAAATGCTTATTACCACAAAACACAGATTAAGTTTGAATTTTGGTGGCGTCACTTTTACCGTTCTACAGTTATGCCCCTTTACAAATGGAAAATTGCTGAATTTATTGTTTCCGTTGTCTAACTTTAGTTTGCCTCATTGGACAACCAAATGTTATGAAACTTATACACAACGCTTATTACCACAAAACACAGATCAAGTTTGAATTTTAGTGGCGTCACTTTTACCGTTCTAGAGTTATGCCCCTTTACAAATGGAAAAATTGCTGAATTTTTCGTTTCCGTTCTTTAACTTTATCTAATAATGTATAAAAAGATGTGGGTACATCAGTGAGACAGCATATACTCCATGTACATGTCATTTATAGTATTGAAGTAGAACTACCCAGACATGCAGATGAATAATTGCAGAGTTAGTTAATATTACAACAAAACAGTGTGTAAAAAATGAATATATTATAGGTTATTTACAGGTCAGTGTCAAAAGGTTAACTTAAATTTGTTTTTGTTTTTCCTCTCAGAGTCGTACAAGAACTCACATACTTGAGATATACCTTATTAATATGATGTATGAGGTAGAGGATTTAGTCACAATCAATGGTACTCTACAGAGACACATAAGAACACTGACTGGTAAAACACTTCATAAATGTGATGTTTGTGCTAGAGAATTTAGTCATGGTAGTAGCCTAATCAGACACATGAGAATACATACTGGAGATAAACCTCATGACAGTGTATGTGGTGTATGTGGTAAAGGGTTTAGTCAGTATAATGAAGTACAAGGACACATGAGAACACATACAGGTGATAAACCTCATGACTGTGATGTATGTGGTAAAGGATTTAGTCTGCTAAATAATTTAAAGAGACACACGAGAACACATATTGGTGCTACCTCATAAATGTGATGTTTGTGCTATAGGATTTAGTCATGGAAGAAGTCTAAAGAGACACATGATAATACATACTGGAGATAAACCTCATGACTATGTATGTGATGTATGTGGTAAAGGGTTTAGTCAGTATAATGATGCACAAAGACACATGAGAACACATTCAGGTGATAAACCTCATGACTGTGATATATGTGATAAAGGATTTAGTCTGCTAAATAATTTAAAGATACACATAAGAACACATATTGGTGATAAACCTCATGACTGTGATGTATGCGGTAAAGAGTTTAGTCAGCTTGGTAATTTACAGAGACACACGAGAATACATACAGGTGATAAACCTCATGACTGTGATGTATGTAGTAAAGGTTTTAATCATCTAATTAGTTTACAGATTCACATGAGAACACATACAGGTGATAAACCATCTCGATTGTTATGTATGTGGTAAAGGTATTAATCAACATGGTGAATTACAAATTCACACGAAAACACACACAGGCGATAAACCTCATGACTGTGATGTATGTGGTAAAAGGGTTTTGTAAGCATGGACATTTACAAATTCACATGAGAACACAGACAGGCGATAAACCGCATGACTGTGATGTATGTGGTAACAGGGTGTTGTAAGCATGGAATTTACATATTCACACGAGAACGCATACAGACGATAAACCTTATGACTGTGATGTATGTGGTAAAGGGTTAGTCAGCTTGGTAATTTACAGAGACACATGAGAACGCATACAGGTGATAAACCTTATGACTGTCATGTATATGATTAAAGATTTAGTCGGTTTTGTTATTTACAGAGTAATATGAGACTACATACAGGTGATAAACCTCATAGCTGTGATGTATGTAGTAAAGTGTTCATTCAGCATGGTGATTTGCAGAGTCACATGAGAACACATACAGGTGATGAACCTCATGCATGACTGTGATGTATATGGTACCGTAAAGGGTTCATTCAGCATGGTGATTTACAGGTCACACGAGAACACATACAGGTGATAAACCTCATGACTGTGATGTATGTGGTAAAGGGTTTAGTCAGCACAGTAATTTACAGAGACACATGAGAACACATACAGGTGATAAGCCACATGAATGTTATGTATGTGGTAAAAAGTTTAGTCAGCATGATGACTTAAAGAGACACATTAGAATACATACTGGGAATAAAACACTAATGAGGTTGTTTGTTTAGTATGAGTGATAATTGCGTTGCGGGGCAAAGCTATACATTCCGTCCGTCCGTCCGTCCGTCCCGTTTTGTAAGCGCTCTCGCTTATACAATTCTTGACAGATTTTTATAAAAAATGTATCATAGGTGTATTTCAGCAATGTCTTGGACAAATTCGAAAAGAAGTGCCGATCAATTATTTTTAATAGAGTTATGCCCCTTTGGAACATTAATTATATGGAAAATTGCATTGTTAGCGCTCTCATTTGTACAATTCTTGCCAGATTTTATGAAACTTATATCATAGGTTTATATAAGCAATATCTTGAACGAGTTCCAAAATCAGTGCCGATCAATTATTTTTAAAAGAGTTATGTCCCTTGGAAAAATTTATTATATAGAAAATTGCATCGTTAGCGCTCTCATGTGTTCAATTCTTGATCAATTTTAATGAAACTTATATCATAGGTTTATATCAGCAATGTATTTGATGAGTTCGAAAATCAATGCCGATCAAATATTTTAAAAAGAGTTATGTGCCTTGGAAACATTAATTATATGGAAAATTGCATTGTCAGCACTCTTATGTGTTCTATTCCTGCCAGATTTTTATGAAATTTATATTAAAGGTTTATATCATCAATGTTTTTGACAAGTTAAAAAAATCAGTGCCGATCAATTATATTTAAAAGAGTTCTGCCTCTGGGAAATATTGATTTTATGGAAATTGCATTGTCAGCGCTCTCATGTGTACAATTATTGCCAGAATTTTATGAAACTTATATCATTGGTTTATATCAGCAATGTATTTGACACTTTCGGAAATAAGTGCTGATCAAATATTTTTAAAGAGTTATGTCCTTTGGAAATATCACTTATAATGGAAATCACCTTGCATTTGCTCTGAAGTCTTCATTTCTCTACGATATTAATACAAAGTTTTAAAGAACAAAAAAAAAGTGATTTGTTATTCAATTATTGCCCTTGTATCTTGGATAGATAAAATATGTGCAACACGGGGGACATTGGAACTCTGTTCTTTTATTAACATTGATACACGAGAACAAGCACATACTAGAGATAAATGTCATTTTTGGAGATATATACTTTATTATGGGATGTAAGTAGTCGACGTTTTTTTTTTAAATTGTACCCTTCAGAAACACTCATGTGAAATTAACCTTTTTCATATGCGATATTTGGTAAAATTTAGTCAGATTGATAATTTACAGACACGTGTGACAACATGTGAGGGTCTGGAAAGGGGGAGTCCTTCATTTCTTTATTTTTGTAATACATTTTATCCCTATCCTTTATAATTTAGCAACCGATTATTCTCTATTCTTTAAAATTTAGCAACCGATTATTCTCTGTTTTTTATAATTTAGCAACCGATTATTCTCTATCTTTATAATTCAGCAACCGATTATTCTCTATTCATTATGTTTTGCCTATTTTCCTCTCGATACTCTTTGTTTGTTTTTATGCCCCCGCCGAAGCAGAGGGGGCATTAAGTTTTGCCCTTGTCCGTCTGTACGTCCGTACGTATGTCCCGTACGTCTGTACGTCCCAAAATTGGTTTCCGTTCTCTAACTTTAGTTTGCCTCAACCAAATGTTAAGAAACTTATACACAATGCTTATTACCACAAAAAACAGATCAAATTTGAATTATGGTGGCGTCACTTTTACCTTTCTAGAGTTATGCCCCTTTACAAATGGAAAAATTGATGAATTTTTGGTTTCCATTCTCTAACTTTAGTTTGCCTATACCAAATGTTATGAAACTTTTGTGCAATGCTTATTACGACAAAACACAGATCAAGTTTGAATTTTGGTGGCTTTACTTTTACTGTTCTAGAGTTATGCCCCTTTACAAATGGAAAATTGCTGATTTTTTTTGTTTTTGTTCTCTACCTTAAGTTTGCCTCAACCAAATGTTGTGAAACTTATACACAATGCTCATTGCCGCAAATTTCAGATCAAGTACGAATTTGGGTAGCCTCACTTTTACTGTTCTTGAGTTATGTCCCTATATAACGTTGTATGCAAGCGGGGGCATTATCTGTGTGCCATGGACACATGCATTCCCCATTTTTTTTTTTAAATTTGTTGTTTTACGGATTTTTTGTATGAAAAATCCGGGTCGGTCGGTCGGAATAGATATAAATAAAATTAAAAACATACATGCATTTTTGAAATGTATAAAAATAATTGTGTACTTAAGCTTTATTTAAATATTTATGCTCTCCTTTTTGTCATCCTTCCTTAACTTTTAGTGGCAAACATTTTTATCTTTGCTGTTTTAAACCCAGGAATAGTAGGTGTCAATATATTATGTCCTAGGTAAGTGTGCGCCGATATAAAACGGCGATTCATACCTGTAAAAAGAAATATATTTATATTTAACTAGGTTTCTCGGGGATGATCGTTTTTCTCGTGCTAGAGACTCAATGTCCAGACTTAATACTTCTTTTGATTGGGGAAAACTTTCGTACTGGTAAGTTGTACTTTAATTTTATATTATTCAGTTTCAATGTTAAATTGTTTGACTTAAATATTCATTTGTTTACAATTGATTTATATGTTTCGGTTTTAGAGTCAAACATTTCTAAAGTCTTTGGTCCCTGGTACATGAAATTACGAGGTTCATGTTCTAGTCGATGGGAACCAGTGGGTATATTTATTTTATCTCGGAAGGTGGGACGTCACGAACTTGATTGATTGAAGTTAGTTTTTGTTTAAGGACGACTATTGTACAGTTATTAATATTTTAGGTTATCGGCCACGTCTAAATTTTTAGTGTGAATTTATCTATTTTAGTCAAATTTATAACACTAATGCCAAACACTTTAATTTTACTTGGTTAATTTATTACGGGTATTTTTCACTGCAAATGCATCGCCCTGTTTTATCCTATAAAATGTATTGAACATTAATTTCAAGGATTAAATTTCATATGGAGATATCGCGATATTTGTGTAATTTTATCTTTGTCTTCTCGAAAAGAAACTATTTTATCGATCTTGTTTATTTGTTGTATCAGCGAAGCACAATCGTCACCTATTGCATTTCTAGGTTGCCGACAACTGTCAATTGTTGTTTTGTGTTGGTTCTTAGTTCAGTATTGTCAGTATGATGTCCGAAGACCTGGAACTAAAGCACAGGCCGAGCCCTCTCTACCAGTAACGTAAACGGTTGTGCTACCGGGGTATTATTTCATGAGAAAACATATGCATGAGTTCGAATCCCGGCCAGGGAAGAACAAAAATTTGCTTCCGCAAATTTACAGATCTAACATTGTTGGGCTGTTATTCAGACGAATTATATATACAGAATGTGTTTTCAGCCTTGTATCACCATCACGACTTGGGATTTGATTAAAACATACTAGACACATAGTGACTGAATTAAAGTACTTACGCCTTATATTCTGCCTGGATTTTTATACGACCGCAAAAATTTTGCGGTCGTATACTGGTATTGTAACAGACACTATGTTCCGTCAGTTACTTTGTTCCGGCGGAACTTTTCAACTAGTTATTTCGTTCCGATGGAACTTTCCAACTAGTTGTTTTATTCCGAGTGCAGTCGAAAAGTTCCGGAAAAAAGTAGCTAGTTGAAAAGTCCCGGAACAATGTAGCTAGTTGAATAGTTCTGGCGGAACAGAACAAGTAGTTACATCTTTCCGAATATACCATATTTCGTCCTTTTTGTAGAAAGAGGGGGAAGAATGAGTATCAGTATATATAAGAGCAAATCATTAATTTACAAGAATACCCAACGCACTGAAAGGGGTTTCTTTGGGGACAAAAATGCAAAATTTAAGTTGTATTTCATAGCTCACATAAAACGGAATAAGTTGCATTATAATGCAAATTTAGTATTCATAGTATCCCCAAGAGAGGGAAGAACACCCCCTCCTCATGTGGTTCTTTGCATCAATTCTCCAAATGGAACTTTGTGACTGGTTGATAAGTTCCGTTGGACTTTTGGGCTAGTTTGTTAGTTTCGGTTTTGACTAATTTGGAAAAAACGGAACTTTCTAACTAGTTGATATGTTCCGTTGGAACTTTTCAACTAGTCACTTTGTTCCGGTGGAACTTTTAAACCAGAGGAAGAACAAAGTAACTAGTTAATAAGTTCCTCCGGAACTTTTCGGCTAGTTAGTTCTTTCCGCCCGGAACTTTCCAACGTCGGAACAAAAGAGCATTTACAGTATCACGTCGTCGTCCGAAGACACATTGGTTTCCGGACAATAACTTTTGTTTAAGTGTATGGATTTCTAAGAAATTTTACCATAAGGTTTATGACCACATAAGGAAGGTTAGGATTGATTTTGGGGGTTATGGTCCTAACTGTCCAGGTATTAGGGCCCAAAATGGGACCCAAATAAGCATTTTTCTAGTTTCCAGACAATACATTGTGAAATGGTGTATGGATCTCTCTGAAATTATACCACAAGTTACCATATCACAAAGGGATGGTGAGAATTTGCTTTGGGGGTTATTGCTCAAACTGTTTAGGAATTAGGGGCAAAAAGGGGGAAAACAAGGGTTTCCAGGTTAATGGACAATTACTTCAGTACAAAACATAATTTTAAAGCAGTGTAAGGGAGATAATTCAAACACATATTGTCAAATTACCTCCCTTACACTGCTTGTAAATTATTTATAAAGAAATGTATTGTCTTTAGGTGATTAGCTGTCAATTTATTTTTAGAAGTTACTATTTTAAAAATGTTTAATAAAGGTAATTCAACTATAGCCATGATTATGTATGTGAAGGAATTTTATTCTTAGATATTACTATTTAATGTTGCTGATGGATGCTTTTTAATTAAAGGCATGATTATGGTGTCATTTTTTATTTTAAAAACTATTTAATTTTAGCCATGATTATGTATGTGAAGGAATTTTATTTTCAGATATTACTATTTAATGTTGCTGATGAATACTTTATGATGTATTTAATAAATAGGTTTTTATGGTTGCAAAGTCCTAGCTGTCAATTTATTTTTAGAAGTTACTTTTAAATGCTGATGAAGGAATTTTATTTTTAGATATTACTATTAAAAGTTGCTGATGAAGGTTTTTTAATTTTAGCCATGACTATGATGTCATTTTCTATTTCAATACCTTTATGATGTATTTAAATGGACTTTTATGGTTAAAAAAAAAGCATTTTTCTAGTTTCCAGACAGTAACTTGTGATTAAGTGTATGGATCTCTCTAAAATTGTACTACAAGGTTCCATATTACAAAGGAAAGACTGCAATTGAGTTTGATGGTTAATGCTAAAAGGGGGTTCAAAAAAGTTAGGGGGAAAGGGGGGGGGGGGGTTCCAATCTTTTTTTAAAAGGGTTCATATTTTTTTTTCAAAATTTTCAAAATTTCAAATTTTTGAAAAGTTTCAAGAAGAAATCTTCAATTGCACAGTATTGCGCATTAGATTTAATTGTAAGATCTTTGACCACATTTATTTTGTGTCAGAAACTTATATTATGTCAAAAATTTGATCACAATCCAAATTCAGATAGTATCAAGCTTGAATATTGTGTCAAATTTTGCCCCAACTGTTCAGGGTTCGACCACTGTGGTCGTATTAGGCTGCGCTCAGCGAAGCATTTTATTAGTATTCGTATTGTTATTTGACAAAGTTATGCTGGTTATAAGGTGCACAGTTTTCTCTGCTTTCAAAATCTTTCTGTTTGAATCTATCCTGGTTTTCTTACTACAACCGGAAACTACTTGTAGATATATTTTTTTGGTGAATGATATAATGACGAAGTTCAGGTGTGATTATGACCCGTGTTTAAATCAAATCCCAAATACACCGTTTGGTGGTGCGTCTGACAGAGGCGGAATTTAAAGATTAGGTAACTGGTAACATGTGACTTTATATAAATAACACAAAGCTGAGAAGGTGATAGAGCAGATTGTTACCCCGAGAAAACATTGTCAACTGAGGCGAAGCCAAGATTGACAATGTCTTTTCGAGGGGTAACAATCTGCTCTATCACCCTCTCAGATATGTGTTATTTGATTTATTTTACTGAATGTTCTGTTATTACTGTCTATTAAATTTCAAATTCAAAGTAATAAACTATGACGTCTTGTACATAACAACCATCCGTATTTAATAAAGCGCGGACTTGATCAAGCGTCTCCGTGAAGGGTAATAGACTATTTGCCATAGGATAGAGTAAATTGTCTCCCTCGTATTAACCAATCAAAATCTGGCATTTTTACATGAAGTATAATGAATACTATAATAGGTATCGGTAATAGACAGTTATAACAGAACATTCAGTATAATGTCCTTACTGTCTATTAAATTTCAAATTCAAAGTAATAAACTATGACGTCTTGTACATAATAACAGAACATTCAGTATAGTAAATTAAATAATACATATCTGAGAGAGTGATAGAACAGATTGTTACCCCTCAAAAAGACATTATCAACCTTAGCTTCGCCTCTGAGAGATTGGAGAGTACTCGCAGTTACTGAAAGCTAGTCCAAAGCCAATTGTATCTGAGACTAAAATATCAATCAGTACACATCCAACATCCAATAGATTAAATGTAAAGACGCCATTAACAATCAAGATATCGGTATTGACAGATTTTAAGACCGTTAATGTGCATATATATGTCACACACACTATGTATAACCATGATAACAATGATATTTAGTGTATTTCGACACTGAAAATAAATGCATTTCAAAATCTAGGATAGTTTTAATTAATTCTTAAAGTAAATATTCATTTAGATTTTTTTTTATACCTAGGAAACCTAAAACTTTTGGATTTGACCGGATTGTCTGTACTCGGAGTAAAATTTGGTACATGTATGTAACCATGGTAAACACGACTATATTTGTCAAGACATGTACCATTTGTTGAACCTTATAAAATCTTGGTTCCTGTATTTTATTGAAAAAAAACTAGTTTGTCTTTAATGAAATGGAGATATAATTGTCCTGAGAAAAAAAAAATGCCCCCTTAAAAAAAAGCTGAATGGTCGGCGCCGAATCAATCGAAATCTACACTGTCAATTTATTCTAATTTGAAATACAGCTTTTGTCACAGGCGAGACAAAGGTATTGATTTATCGCCATAATTGTTAAGTTTTCTGCTTTAGTCAGTTTGATGGTAACTATTTGTGATAGATCAATGAAATTTTCTATAAAGTTGCATTACCGGTACTATCAGTACATATCAATTAAAGGACTTTTTCGAGGCTCTGTCCCTAGGTCATGGTCCAGCGACTTTCAATTTAAATAAACAATTTTCAATGTTAAGTTTTCTGCATAAGTTAGTTTGATAGGAACTACTAATGATAGACAATGATATTTTCTATTAAGTTAAATTACTATCAGTACATCTCAGTTTGTCGACTATTTTGAGGTCCTGTCCCTAGTTCATGGTCAAACGACTTTGAGACAGGCGATACATACATGTAGCTCTGTTTCAGCAGTTTATTAATTATGTATGCAAATAATGTTGATGTTAAGTAAAATACTTTTCCATATGAATAAAAAAGATTGGGATATACATCAATGAGGCAGTATGGCATACATACTACTTGTACATGTCACATATATAAAAGTACTGGAGTAGAGTTGCCCAGACATAGGTATTACTATCTGGCGGCGGCGGCGTAAACTATTTGTATAAAGCTTAATATTTCAGAATGTAGAAGACCCGGATGCTTCATACCTTGTATGCAGATACATTATGTTACTAAGTTTACGTCTGTCATATGCCCTTTGTCCTTGACCTCATTTTTATGGTTCAACGACTGCTTGAAAAAAACAAAATTCAGCTTTTTTGTCATGTGAATTTCTCACTTAATATGAGTAATTAATAGGATAACTATATTTGGTATATGGGTTGCTTGCAACGTCTACATGTCTGTCAGACAGGGCTAACCTGACCTCGACCTCAATTCATGGATCAGTGATCAAGGTTAAAGTTACGTGATTAGGTCCGTTTCTCAGATACTACAAGCAGAAGGTCAACTATATGTGGTGTATGGAATGATTGTAAGGGGTACATCTGACCTTGACCCCATTTTCATGGTTCATTGGTCAATGTTAAGTTTTTTGTGTTATGGGTCTGTTTTTCAAATACTGATAACAATAGGTCAACTATAATTGGTGTATGGAATGATTGTAAGGTGTACATGTCTGTGTGACAGTTTTTATTTGACCATGACCTCATTATTAGGGTTCTTTAAAAATGTTAAGTTTATGTCATACTTGTAGACAAATCTCTATCTTTAAGGCTTTGAACTTAAAATCAATGGTCAGTAAAACAGGCGAGACATTTCAGCGTGTACACTCTTGTTACAGGGTTTTTGCACAAGTTATAAGTTTTTTGACACATACCTTTTTGCTCCAGGTGATAAAAGTTTATCTTCTAAAATTTATCAGCTTAATGTCTTAAATTCAAATTTATATTCAACCTAACATTTAGTGCTATTCTTGTCCTGAAACTAGAAATAAGGACACCTGAATGGTTTGAATTTTACTTTTATCTTTCTCCTTATACCAAAATCATATCCATAAAAAGTCTTTTTGTGTTCTTATAATGTTTTTTTTTTGTATCAATACTCAGTATTAGACCGTATCATGTAGTCATGGAAATATGACAGAAATATCCGAAACAAAAGACTGTGTACTTGTATGATCCATTTGTGTTAAGCGGTTCATAAAACACTGATAACTTGTACACAATTATGTACAAATTACAACATTACAATTTGTACACATCATATACAACATAGATATTTTATACGTTATTAACAGGGAGATATCAAAAGGTTTTAGTCTTAATTACGGATGTTTGCTTGTCATGTTTTGGAATTTTTGTCAGATTTTCGGAATCCTCTGGTTTTATCCATGTGAATGCCTTAAAAAAATTTGACCATTGACCCCCATTTTTCTATTTAAAAATCTTTTACATGTACAATTATAAGCCATCTGTAAAAGTCTTATAAAATCTTTGTTATTTTTTGATAGATTTTGAGAACTTGAACTTTTCAATGATAAGGCTAAGAAAAATCTAGAGAAAACATTTTCCCGCCAAAATTTCAATGGCTAATATCTCGAAAACAAGCACATTGACCTATATTTTTTTTGCTCTTTTGGTTCCTTTAATAATACCCTATCAATTTATACTAGTGTTATGAAAAGCTTTTTATTTTGAAACTGAGTAGCGAACCTACTTAACTTTGGGGTTTTTTTTTGTTTCTTATAGAGTGGTATAACACATATACTGGAGATAAACCTTATTGATAATATGATGGGGTGGAGGGTTTAGTGATCAATGGAACCCTACAGAGACGCACTAGAAAACAGTGACTTTAATGGACACCGGAGAAGACATACTGGTGAAAAATGTCATAAATGTGATGTTAGTGCTAGAGAACCTACTCAAGGTGGTGACTTTAAAGGACACCGGAGAACACATACTGGTGAAAAATTTCATAAATGTGTTAGAGAATTTAGTCAAGGTAGTGAATTAAATGAAAACACGAGAACACAAACTGGTGAAAAATGTTATAAATGTGAATTTTGTAATAGAAAATTTACTACAGGTGGTAATCTGAAGAGACACATGAGAACACATACTGAAAATAAGTCTTATAAATGTAATGAATGTGGTAAACAGTTTAGTCAAGTCAGTAATTTACAACGTCACATGAGAACACATTCAGGTGATAAACCTCATGACAGTGATATTTACGGTAAAGGGTTTAGTAAGCCTGGTAATTTACAGATTCACACGAGAATACATACTGGTGGTAAACCTCATAACTGTGATGTATGTGGTAAAGGGTTTCGTCAGCATGGTCATTTACTGATTCACATGAGAATACATACTGGTGAAAAACCTCATAACTGTGATGTTTGTGGTAAAGGGTTTAGTCTGCTTGGTAATTTACAAAGACACATAAGAATACATACAGGTGATAAACCTCATGACTGTGATGTATGTGGTAAAGGGTTTAGTCAGCATGGTAATTTACAACGTCACATGAGAATACATACAGGTGATAAAATAAAACCTCATTACTGTGATGTATGTGGTAAAGGGTTTCGTCAGCATCGTCATTTACTGATTCACATGAGAATACATACTGGTGAAAAACCTCATAACTGTGATGTTTGTGGTAAAGGGTTTAGTCTGATTGGTCATTTACGAAGACACAAGAGAATACATACAGGTGATAAACCTTATGACTGTGATGTTTGTGGTAAAGGTTTTAGTCGTCTTAGTAATTTACAGATTCACATGAGAACACATACAGGTGATAAACCAAATGAATGTAATGTATGTGATAAAAAGTTTAGTGATCGTAGTAATTTACAACGTCACATGAAAACACATACAGGTGATAAACCTCATGACTGTGATGTTTGTGGTAAAGGTTTTAGTCGTCTTAGTAATTTACAGATTCACATGAGAACACATACAGGTGATAAACCAAATGAATGTAATGTATGTGATAAAAAGTTTAGTAAACGTAGTAATTTACAACGTCACATGAAAACACATACTGGTGAAAAACCTCATTACTGTGATGTATGTGGTAAAGGGTTTAGTCAGCATGGTAATTTACTGATTCACATGAGAACACATGAAGGTGATAAACCTCATGAATGTGATGTATGTGGTAAAGGTTTTAGTCGGCTTTGTCATTTAGAAAGACACATGAGAATACACACAGGTGAACAACTTCATGAATGGGATGTATGTGTTAAAGGTTTTAGTCAAGGTCGTGGCTTAAAGAGACACAAGAGAACACATAAAAGTGAAAAACCTCATGACTAATGTATGTGGTAAAAAGTTTAGTCATCTTAGTAATTTACAACGTCACATAAGAACACATACAGGTGATAAAACTCATAACTGTGATGTTTGTGGTAAAGGGTTTAGTCTGATTGGTCATGTACAAAGACAAATGAGAATACATACAGGTGATAAACCTCATGACTGTGATGTTTGTGGTACAGGTTTTAGTCGTCTTAGTAATTTACAGATTCACATGAAAACACATACACGTGATAAACCGCATTACTGTAATGTATATGGTAAAGGGTTTAGTCAACTTAGTAATTTACAACGTCACATGAGAACACATACAGGTGATTAAACTCATAACTGTGATGTTTGTGGTAAAGGGTTTAGTCTGCTTGGTCATTTACAAAGACACATGAGAATACATACAGGTGATAAACCTCATAACTGTGATATAAGTGGTAAAGGGTTTAGTCTGCTTTGTAGATTACAGATTCACATGAGAACACATACAGGTGATAAACCTCAAGACTGTGATGTATGTGGTAAAGGGTTTAGTCCGCTTGGTAATTTACAGATTCACAGGTGATAAACCTTATGATTGTGATTTATGTGGAAAAGGGTTTAGTCACATGTGATAAACATCATAAATCTCATGACTGTGAAGTACAATGTATATGGTTAAGGTTTAGTCAGCCTGGTAATTTACAGATTCACATACAGGTGATAAAAGTCATGACTGTGATGTATCATTGTTTAGGGTTTAGTCGGCATGGTTAAGAACAGTGACACATGAGAACATATACTTCACATGAATATGGTTTTTAGTGAATGGTATCGTCGGCTTACAATCTGTATACGTGCCTGTCCCAATCGAGGAGCCTGTTATTAAGTGGTTGTCATTTGTTACTGTATATTATATTTGTTTTTTGTTGACTGTTTTGTAATAACCAGTATAATATAAAATCATTCCGTTAGTTTTCTCTTTGAATTGTTTTACACAAATGTTTTACATTTTGTTATTTCGGGACCTCTAAAGCTTGCTATGCGGTCTGTGTTTTGCTCATTGTTGAAGGTCGTACGGTGACCTACAGTTCTACATCATTTGGTCTCTGATGGAGAGTTGTCTCATGGGCAATCATACCAGTTTTCTTACCTTTATGTTGGTAATTTATAGAGACACACGAGAACACTTTTGTAAAGGGTTTAGTCAAATTGATAAATTGATAATTTACAGAGACACATGAGATCACTTTTATAAAGGGTTTAGTCAAATTGATATTTTGATAATTTACAGACTCTGAAAGAACACACAAGAAAGTTGTCTTAGTACACATTTAAACAAAATAGTTCCTACGCATACATTTTTGTAGCTGGAACTTTGTCAGTCAGTAAATTTTGTGTAATTTTGATATGAAATGAAAGCTTAGGGACTTGGGATCACTGTAGATCCCTTGTTGAAAGTTTTTTTTTTTATTAAAATAAAAAGAAATATGAAATTAAGATAGGAGGGCATATTTGACCTGTTGTTCAGATCAGAAGTACCTATTTTTAGCTCACCTGACCCAAAGGGTCAAGTAGGGTCAGGTGAGCTTTTCTCATCACTTGGCGTCCGTCGTCGTCCGCCTTCTTCGTCGTCGTTAACTTTTACAAAAATCTCCTTCTCTGAAACCACTGGGCCAAGTTAAACCAAACTTGGCCTAAATCATTCTTGTTGTATCTAGTTTTCAAAAATGTATCCGATGGCCCCGTCCACTAATCAAGGTGGCCGCCATGGCTAAAAATAGAACATAGGGATAAAATGCAGTTTTTGTCGAGTCTGCGACTTTTGTCGCAGAAAGCTCGACATAGGGATAGTGATCCGGCGGCGGCGTCAGCTAACTTCTTAAAAGCTTTATATTTTAGAAGGTGGAAGATCTGGATGCTTCATACTTTGTATATGGATGCCTCATGTTACGAAGTTTCTGTCAGTCACATGTCCAATGTCCTTGACCTCATTTTCATGGTTCAGTGACTACTTGAAAAAGTTAATATTTTTTGTAATGTTAAATTCTCTCTTATTATAAGTAATAGGATAACTATATTTGGTATGTACGTACCTTGCAAGGTCCTCATGCCCGTCAGACAGTTTTCACTTGACCTCGACCTCATTTCATGGATCAGTGAACAAGGTTAAGTTTTGGTGGTCAAGTCCATATCTCAGATACTATAAGCAATAGGTCTAGTATATTCGTTGTATGGAAGGACTGTAAGGTGTACATGTCCAGTCCAACTGGCAGGTGTCATCTGACCTTGACCTCATTTTCATAGTTCAGTGGTTAAAGTTAAGTTTTTGTGTTTTGGTCTGTTTTTCTTATACTGTATGCAATAGGTCTACTATATTTGGTGTATGGAATGATTGTAAGGTGTACATGTCTAGCTGGCAGGTGTCATCTGACCTTGACCTCATTTTCATGGTTCAGTGGTCAAAGTTAAGTTTTTGAGTTTTGGTCTTTTTTTCTAATACTATATGCAATAGTTCAACTATATTTGGTGTATGGAAATATTTTATGATCTATATGTCAGTCACGCAGGTTTTATTTTACTTTGACCTCATTTTCAAGGTTCATTGCTCAGTGTTAAGTTTTTGTGTTTTGGTCTGTTTTTCTTAAACTATAAGCAATAGGTCAACTATATTTGTTGTATGGAAGAATTGTTAGCTTTACATGCCTGCCTAGCATGGTTCATCTGACCTTGACCTCATTTTCATGGTTCATTGGTCAATGTTTAGTTTACTTGGTTAATGTTAAGTTTATGTGACAGTTGTAATAAAGCTTTATATTTAGGACTATCAACATAATATCAATGATTAGTAAAGAAGGCGAGACATTTCAGCGTGTGCACTCTTGTTGGCTTATATCTCTGAAACTAAAGCATTTAGAGCAAATCTGACATGAAGTAAAAATGTTCATCAGGTCAAGTTCTATCTGCCCTGAAATGTTCAGACGAATCAGACAACCCTTTGTTGGGTTACTGCCCATAAATTGGTAATTTTTAGGAAATTTTGAAGATTTTGGTTATTATCTTGAATATTATAATAGATAGAGATAAACTGTATACAGCAAAAATGTTCAGCAAAGTAAGATCTACAAATAAGTCAACATGACCAAAATTGTCAATTGACCCCTTAAGGAGTTATTGCCCAGTTAAAGTCAAATTTTCACTATTTTTCGTAAATTTTTGTAATCTTTTACAAAAATCTTCTCCTCTGAAATTACTGAGCCAAGTTAAACCATATTTGTCCTTAATCATCCTTAGGGTATTTAGTTTAAAAACATGTATCCGATGACCCTGCACACCAACCAAGATGGCCGCCATGGCTAAAAATAGAGCATGGGGGTAAAATGCAGTTTTTGGCTTATATCTCTGAAACTAAAGCATTTAGAGCAAATCTAACGGGGTTAACATGTTCATCAGGTCAACATGACAAAAATGTTCTTCTTTTAATCTACTTGGCCAAATGGAATTAAACTTGGCCACAATTATTATTAGAGTAACTTGATTGAAAAATGTATCTGATGACCCTGCCCTACAACCAACATGGTCCCCATTGGTAAAAATAGAACATAGGGGTTTACTATAGAAGTCTATGGGGAAAATGTAATGGGATGACTTGATTTTTTTCCCAGGGGTGCAACTTTTTCAGGGGGGGGGGTGCTAATAATTTCTCCTTGATATGTTCCCTTTTCAGAATTATTCAGCGTTACTTTTTCTATGAACCATTATTATATCTTTTCTTTCAGCATACTTATATTGGGTGAATGCCCCCAGACCCGGCGGGTTAGTCGGGGTCAGGGGAATCCCTGCCCAAAGGTTTTTGAAGGGTGTTCCATAAAAACATTTAAAGGCATTTTCATCATATTTATCTTTATAGATTGAGGATATACTGTAAACAGCCAAAATATCAAGCAAAAAAAGATCTACAAATAAGTTAACATGACCAATTGGCAATTGACATCTTATTGGAGTTATTGTCCTTAAAAGTTATTTTCTGCAATTTATTGTTAATTTTTGTAAATCTTTTCAAAAATCTGCTTTTAATTTAACTACTGGGCCACATTAAACCAAACTTGGCCTCAATCATTATAAGGGTATCTATAAGATTTTAACCTTATTTTACATAACCACAGTAGATACAGGTGAGCGACACAGGCTCTTGAGAGCCTCTAGTTATACTTCTAAACTTCCGGGAACTAGTGCGGCTCTAATCATGCTTTTATGCAATTAAAGGTATGTTGAATTTTTCAGCACAAGTCAAGGTAAGGTAAAGCTTTGACATGAAATGACTGTCACTTTATTTGAACTTGAGACAAAATAGCTATGGATGCTTGAAATTGCTGAATTTGACATAGAAAGCAATGGGATTATGAATTCGTGGTCCTAAGTCAGGAATCTGATGTTCAGTAGTTGTCGTTTGTTGATGTGGTTCATAAGTGTTTCTCGTTTTTTATAAAGATTAGACCGTTGGTTTTCCCGTTTGAATGGTTTTACACTAGTAATTTTTGAGGCCCTTTATAGCTTGCTGTTCGGTGTGAGCCAAGGATCCGTGTTGAAGATCGTACTTTGACCTATAATGGTTTACTTTTATAAATTATAACTTGGATGGAGAGTTGTCTCATTGGCACTCATACCACATCTTATATATATTTTATTCAATAAGAGGGTCAAAGGATTTTGATTTTGATTTTTGGTGTTTGAACGCCACTTTTAAGCACCGCTTTTTGGGCTATTTTATGGCGGCCAGTTTTTATTGGTGGAGGAGACCGGAGTGCCCGGAGAAAACCACCGACCTTCGATAGGAAAGCTGACAATCCTAGTCAATAAAGATTGGAGTCGAGTGCACCCGCACGAGCTGGGTTCGAACTAACAACGTCAGTGTTGACTGGCTAGTGATTACAGTAGTAATAATTACATACAAATTACAATTTAAACAAAAACATCATCATGACATATACATAAAATCAAATAATAAAACACAAGACATTAAATTACCATGTTCTCTGTTCCATAGAGGGAGTGTTTAATAAAGGAGCCTCAATACCTCACTTGCTGGCTAGTAGTTGGATGTAGAAAACAATTCATTTTATTGTCCGAAAGTGTTTAGTTTGATTTTTTTATCTCCACTGTAGTCGCAGAATGAATGACTTAGGTATTACAATCCGGTGACTGCGTAAACTATTTGTATACATCTCTATATGATTTCAGATGGTAGGCCTGGAGGGTTCATACCTTGTATGAAGATGCCTTAATTTGCGAAGTTTCGGTCTGTCATTTGTCCATGACCTCAGTTTTATGGTTCAGCTATTTCTTAAAAAATTGAATAGTATTTTTGTCATGTAAATTTCTCACTTATTGTGAGTAAAAGTATAACTGTATTTGGCATTATGGTTCCTTGCAATGTCTACATGTGCGTCAGACCTCATTTCCTGGATCAGTGGTCAAGGTTAAAAAACGTGATTAGGTCCGTTTATCAAATACTATAAGCAGAAGGTCAATTATATGTACAGTAGTGTATGGAATGGAGGTTTGAATGGGGTTTACAGAATAGAAAATAAGGGGGCAAAATGTACGGAAAAATCATCTAAAAAAAGGATATAGAAAAATAGGATAAAAAAAGACATGAGAACAATGTGATGCTAAAATATAAAGAATAAGAAAAATGACATTAAATTTAAGAGTACGGAAAAGAATACCTCCCGTATTTCCGTTATTTTATTGTTATTTGATGAAAATATAGCTAACGAAAAAAATTAGACCACCATACAAACTGTTCTTAATGGGAGACTACTAAAATTTTCTCCCAGTTAGATTAGTCCTCAAATAGTTAAATCATTATCAGTGGTGTACGGGAGGCAACTCTTGGTATTAATCTCTTTATAGACAGGAAAAAGATCGTTTTTAAAAGAATAAAACTGTCGCAAGGGAACGCACAAAAGGAAAAATTTTAGAAAATAAGCCTATTTTCACAATATTTTCCCTCAACATTTAAGCTATGGTGGAACAAGTTACCGCGTGTGTAACACATTCAAGAATTATTTTATTGTCTCTGGTAAATGCATGCCAACCGCTTGAAAGATGAATTTTAAAGGCAATGCTTTACTCGGTGATATGCAAAAATACGTTTTCATTGACTTTTGATATTATTTTTTTTAATTTTATAATTAGTCCTTGTCATCACTGTATGTCTGCACTCAGAGACATTGATAAACCTACTAGTGCCGAAAAAGCATGACAAAAGCCGGAATTTGTCCGTCACTATCACAATAAATTCTAAAATATAATTATCCCTCTTTTGGAAAACGGTACTATTTATTCTGCCATAGCCGACAATACTAACATTTTCAAAATTTACCACTTTTTATAATAAAAACCTGGATAAAACAGTTATGTGTGGTGTTAGTACTTTTTTTATTCTGTTTTAAAAATTGAAGCCAAATAGTATCATGACCAACTTCCAACGGAGCTTGTTTATGTTATCCATGCCCACCGTCCTTTTACGCCAAATTTATGAAATTTTGGAAGTCTTTTCGAATAATTCTCTAGAAAATATTTCAATAGGTTTCACAATTTATATTGTAAATATACATACTGCAGTTATTCATAGATAAATAAAAAAATATATTGTACCCTTACATCCAATCACAGCGCTCCCAAGTTGACTTCCTTCACCTGCCTTGGGTACACAAAAGGCCAACCTAATGCTGGGAAAATGTAATAGTACCGTTTTCCCTTTTGTCGCCAAGCGATAACTGTAAAGGCTAAAATATGGTATAGCCGAAAAAATGCATTACATACATTGCCACACGAGTATAAATCGTTATCATGGTTACACCAATTCCTTCAAATGTGAAATATGAATCATCTTATGTTATGTATTTCCAAAACGAAGAGAAAGTTCTCGTATCACACTGCACGGAGTACGTGTGATATGAATAAGTGATAAAAACAAAACATAAATATTATTGGCTATATATCTAATGTCCTTTTTGGTTGACCAGCTTTTCAACGTCTGTATAAGTTTTGGTTTTTCAATATTTTGGCTTCGAATAATACTATAGAGACATGTATTGTTTGGCAAAGTTAACTTGGTACCGTTAATGTTATATTTAAAAGGTCACATTTCTCCATTGGCAACTGATATTTTGAATTCTCCAAAAAATAAACAAAATACTCGCATGTCATTGTACAATTTCACCTTAAAATGATACGTTTTCCATTCTGAAGCGTACAAAAGGCTTGAAGGCGGGAGCCCTTAGTTCAGTGGTTGTCGTTGGTTCATGTCTGTCCTATTTGTTTTTCGTAAATCATTATGAATTAGACCGTTCGTTTTCTCATTTAAATTGTTTCACATTTGTCATTTAGAGGCCTTTTATAGCCGCTTAAACGGAATGGTTGTTTTTCTCATTGTTGAAGGCCGTAAGATGGCCTATATTTGCAAACATCCACTTCATGTGACTGAATCTAGTGGATAGTTGTCTCATTGGCAATCATATCACATGTCCTTTTTTATGTTGAAGACCTATGCTGTTAACTATGAATCGCGGAGTTAGTCAAAAGTATTTTATTTAATTGACTCAAATTCTCATATTTAATTTATGATATACTAAAATGTATCCAAATTACAAAAAGTCTAAATTAAACGATTAAAGGAGATGTGACATGATTTTTTTTGTTTGTTTTTTTTTTTAAATAAATATTTATTTATACATAATTACCCCCCAAAACACATCGAAAGCAATATAATTATCGTTTAAATGGATAAAATATGAATTTAAATGTATCGATCTGTCGACATACTAATTATGCATATTTCAATCCCGGAAGTTACTCAGAACGAGGCTGTGACGTCAGTGGTTTCACCAATCATATTTGACTGAAGGGTGTATAGGCATAATTAGCGCAATTTCATTTTCGAATATCTTCCAACAAAACCCATGACAGTGATTAAAAATGGTTCTGTGTGTTACCAGTGGATGCAACAATAGGCATAAGAAGGACAGTTTAATTAGTTTTTTCTGTTTTCCGAGTAACCCGCAAACCAGGAAGGCGTGGACACACTATTGTAAGAGATGGGACTTCATACCAAGCACTGGTCATAGACTTTGTTCCGCCAACTTTACAAATGCATGTTACGATCGTGACCCAGAAGTTATGAAGAATCTCGAGGGTTGTCCTACCATGAAGCCAAAACTCCGTCCAAATGCGGTACCTGACATTCCATGGACACAACCAACAACAGCCGAGTCAAGGCCACCTATACCTAAGCGGGGAGCTGATGAGAAGCGGAGAAAGGCTGACGTAAATATTTTTTTTTTATCTTCGCAAATATTTTTTTGCGTCCCTTTTTAATAATATTATTTTTTATAGTTTCGTCGTATTTGTGTATAGCCCAATATATCTCAGTGTTTAAAATTTGGTATCGTGTACCTCCTTAGTGTATCTCACTACCTGTTAACGTGTGCAGGTGTGTACACTGAAATTGGACATACATCCATAAACATCGATCAGAAGTTACAGGTATGCGGCACACTTTATCCGCAATGCTGGGTTACCTTTTGAAGTTGAAAGCTACAGGCGTCATACCCAGCAAACACACAACATTTTAAAAACATTTTTTAAATGTCATATGGACGTCTCTCACAAAATATTTCAATAAGATATCATTTAAACATAAAAAAAATGTTTATTTTATTGTTTTTGAAATGTTTTATTTCTAACATTTAAGTAAAATGTTTTTACAACATTAACAAAATATTATTTGCTAATATCTTTTATTCATGTTCTCAAACATTGTTCTAAAATATCCCGTAGATATTTTATAATATAAAAAAATAATATTTTCTTCAATTGGTATTTTATATTTTAACAACATTTAAAGTAAATATTTTCCAAATATCCAAAAAACATTCTGCAAAAAAATGTTTTACAGAAAATATAGTTTTGCTATTTGCATAAAATGTTTTATAACGTAAAATTAAAATGTTTTACATAAAACATCTGAAAAATATCAGCTAAATGTTTTCTATAAAATATTCTGACATACACATTACTTAATAGTCTTACTGATATTTTATTCAACATTTTACGGATATAAAATAACGTTTTATTTAAACTTAATTTCAAAACACCACAAACAACGTTTTGTGGAATTAGCTCGTTATTTTCAGGATAAGATATAGTACTACATTTCATCAATATCATGACAAGCAAGATACTATGGTTGAAATCCTTAATTGATATATAGAAGATCCTTGAAGTCAGATTTTATTCCTTCTTATATTAAAATTCAAAAGAGTCAACATTAAATTAAGCAATAATGTATTAATAAACAATCACCTTTCTTTAATGTTTATTAATTTCATTCGTGTATATTTTAGAAATTAAGAAATGAAAACTGTAACTGTACTAAGTTCAATTTTCGTATCGTTTATATGCCTTACGGAAAACCGACCTTTTCCGGAATCGACTTTTGTTTTATCACCGGAAATGATTTTGAAATTTGAATTTCGAAACGAAGACAGGATATCAACAAAGAGAGCCAAGAAAATTGTTTGTTACGCGATATATACTCACTTGGTAAGAATGATTAATCTGTTAAGATGAAACTTGTGCATTCATTGTGTGTGTTCAATCATAATCGGAACCAAATTACATCTGTTTCTGGAGGTGCGGATCAAGGGTTTGAAAAAGGGGGCCCTGCCCAAGGCAAGCAAACGTTTGGAGTGATACTTGTAAATAGTCTATACATTTATCTTATAAGTAGCTCCATAAGGGGGTCGGGGCCCCTAAATCCGCCACTGTTCAAGCATCTACGTACACCAATTATGAATTTGTTCATTGATATAAAAAAATTATAAGGATATGTGGCTTGTGAAGTTGTGTATGTGTTTGATTGCCAATACACCTTATCGCTATTTGTCCGCCATTACTGGCCATGGACATCAAAAAAGTTCCCGTAAAATGTTGACGTCATATTAGAAAATATTTGACACCACAATTGAAAGTAATACACCTTATCGCTATTTGTCCGCCATTACTGGACATCACACAACTGTCACAAGTTCCCTTAAAATTTTGACGTCATCACAAAAAATATCTGATACCACATTGGAAAAGTGATTGCTGTTTGACGTCAAAAGTTCAAGCAGGATAGATTCTCAGGTCAAGCGGAAATAGCGATAAGGGGTATTATTGTATGACGTACATGTATGCTGACGTAAAAAGTTCAAGCAGGACAGATTTCCAAATACTGAAATAGCGATAAGGTGTATGAGACAGCTATCCACCAGAATTTAAATGACTTGGATAAAAGAAATTATAGGTCACTGTACGGCTTTCAAAACTGAGAAAACCAATGCCATATAGTCCACTTTGAAGCCTTGACAAACAAATGTTAAATTTTTCTCAACACAATTGAAACAAAACAACTAACTGCCTACATTAAATACACATAATTATGAAAAAGAAATTTGACAGACTTAAACCAACAACAACTATTGCAATAAGCATGACTCAATACCTTGTTTCCGAGGCACACAAACAAGCAAGTTACAATAACACTTATATAAGCACCATTTGAATATGGAGATTTTTTTTTCTAGTAAAATCAGTGTATGCATGTATTTGCAAAACAGTAAATTAAATTTCCCTTAACAGCTTAATGAACATTACAAAGACTATGTAAGACTTCAGTACAAGCAAGATAATATAAACTGTTGCTTAAAATTATTTAAATTGCAATGTATCTTTTTTTTTTGAACAGGAGCTAAAAGAAAAGCCACAAAGGACAAGTTCAATATGCAGGTTTACAATTTGGAAGTGGCGCAGGTTCCTTGGAATGTCTACAACCTTTCAGGAGAATTTTTTTTGGAAGTAAGATTTTCATACAGAATTACTGTTATTCCATATTTAATTCAAATATTTAGCATAAACAATGCATTACATTCAAGATTAAGGGCATACAATACAGAAAAGATATATGGATATTTGAATAAACTATTTTTTTTGTGACAAAATAGAAACAAGTTGTTTATTTAAATCAATCTTTTAGTCCAACAGTGTGCTTTCATAAACATCATATTTGTTTTCCTTTGAAGTATTTCAAATACATATAAACAACTCATTTAATGACATCTGTGTGTTTCTCGGAAGTTAAGTTATATTATTATCATCATTGCGAAAACAATGCGTAACACTTCGATAAGTTATTATATGCCTATAGTATACTTCTAGGACTGTATCATATGCCCTTAGATACAAATGACAAGTTATAAACTATGTCACTCTACAGAGTTTAACACTTAAAAAGGACAATAAGATGTTTAATGACATTATGTAGCAGGGCATTTAAAGGCCCCTACATGATACAATGCATTTAATGAAAACTAAAAAAAAACAAGAAAAACAACAGCCTGATTTATACAAAACAATAAAAGAAAAAAAATATGATAGACAACAATCAACGAGTATAATGAAATAAGACTCTTGACTGGACACATATCAAGTCTAAAGTTTTTTATGTCATATATAATGTGTGTTTTTTTTTAATAACTAAATGCAGTTCAGCGTGGCATATTGCTCTCTCTCAACACCGTCAGCCATTTATCGTCCCCTTCCGACAGACTATCATGGTTATTTGTTTCAAAACTTTAAAGGGGAGGGGATGTATATCCTTCAGGCAACATGAATCGTTCTATAATAAAGGATGTGCAAGAAGTTTATATATGAATGTAAGATTATTTTTTTTTTCAGAAGCATGGCACAGCAAGATAAAGATATAAGACACTACAAGACATTCCAAGTGATTTTGAATAAGACAATTGATTGACTTTTTCAATTTATTCTTAAATAAATCAAATAGTTGATGTAAAATGGTGTTTTGTTCTCATCTCTTCAGCCAATTATCAATGATTATTGACTTAAGATGTAACCCTATTAGAAGTGTAGCGTTTAAGTTTAGAAAGAGAAGTTGTATTGAAAAATCTGAATTTGGGACTCAAGTTTTAGTCAATGTAACTTGAACTTAAAAATGTGTATAATGTTTGCATAATGTCCAATGGCGTATATGTCGTGCATGTTCAGGTTGACATATGCATGATGTGTATAAGATAGGTAATACAGGTTGAGAGTGAAAAACTAAACATTATACCATTGTGGTTGGAATGTGGGCTTTCTTGCACTGTCTGTCGTCTGTCCACCTATATTTGTCGGATTTTGTCCAACAAATATTTTCATCACTGTTTTTCCCAAAACTGCTGATAAAGATGAGTTCATATTTAATGAGCTGCTTGATAGTGATGAACTGTGATGTGTGAACATTTTTGTATCTGGCACCTGTTTCCTGTTTGCTTATACATTGTATTTCAAAATGTTGAATGTTCTCAAATTTTTCATTACTTTAATTAGTAATGCTGATGAACAGAATGACTTCATATTTGGTAAGTGGCTTGACCATGATGAGTTGTGTCTGCCATTTTGGATGATGTCAAAATTTGTAGATACTTCTTGTTTTTAGAGACTTTGAATTGTGAATTTCATATATGCTTAGAAAAACAACTGATTTATTCTTGTTTGTATATAGAATTAATCACTGTGTATACATTAATTTAACTAATGATTTGTTATTTAAAAAAGCAGGAAACTCAATCAAAAGTAAAGACATTTTTATATTGATATGATCTAGATATCAACCAAAAACATCTTCTTAAAACATTTTGAAAACATTTTTTAGGCACAGTCTCACTTGCAAGAAAACATCCAAAAAACATTTTTATAACATTATTTGATGTTCATGATGTTTTTCAAACGTTCAGAAAATATTTCTAGAAAATATTTTTTAAAAGATTATCAAAATGTTTTATACACCATTGTTTTTCACATTATCATGATATTTCTTTACAACATTTTAATTATATTATGCAAATATTTTAGAAAATATATTAGAAAACGTTTTAGTGATATATATTCTACCATACATTTAATGTTTTTCTCACATTTTTTTGTGATATTTTCATGACATTAGACACAACATTTTAAAAACATTTTAAAGATGTTTTTGTGTTTGCTGGGTACCCCCAGGTGATGATAGATAAGACATAGGTAATATGCAATATTGCGTAATATGCGTCGAATCTGTGTACATCCATGATCACCTGCTGGGTGCACAGGTGAGGTTGGAAAATAGACTAGAGCAAATGTTACAGACATAAGTTACGTAATGCATACCTGTTTTACCTGTTGGAATAAACAATACCCGACTGTCGGTTATGGGGTTTTACAGAATAGAGAAAAAAGGACTG